TTTCGACGCGTCTGTAAGAATTGACCTTCAGACAAAAGCAATTCGAAGCCTACAGAAGTCATTATCACCCGAGATCGGCAATCCTACAGATATCAGATCTCTATTCACTCTGAGTCTCTTGCTAGCCGAGCAAAGAGAGTTGAGTGCAGCTGTTGACATTGTGAAGGCGGCATTATTGTCTAACAACAAGACCACCGAACCGACAATCGAAAACAGCCCATACTTGCGTGAGAGATCTCTCGTCCCTCTTTGGCATCTGCTGGCGTTATTGCTTAGCGCCAGACAGGACTACACGATGGCGGCACGGGCGTGCGAAGCGGCATTTGAACAGTTCAATACCCCAGAAGTACTTTTTGGGTCCCAGAGCTCATCAGGCACATTCAGGAGTGAACACCTTAATGATGCTGAAGCTCAAAATGACGGTGCACCCTCTGGCGGCCTTGTCGATGAAATGGATGATCTGGAGAAGGAAGGTATCTTGCAGGTGAAAATGACGCAGCTTGCACTTCTGGAACTTCTAGAGGGGCCAGAGGTCGCGGTCAATGCCAGCCAAGAGCTATTGGTCATGTATACACGGCTGTTCGGACCAATGCACTTGAGATCTCTCACAACTAAGCCCAAACAAACCCTAGAGGCCCCGAAAAGCTCGAGTGGTACTCTTCGCAGTCTAAGGGGCAGTATATTTGGCACCAAGTCAGACAAAACCACCCGTCAGCCGAGGAGGAGGAGCCTTTTGGGCATAGAAAGATCTACTGTTCCCTCAGACAGGCCTAAAACTGCCCAAGCTGCCGTAGGCCAAACCACTATGGCACCGACCATAGAGGTAACCACTGAGAATGATGGGCCTAGCAGACCTGCAAGTGTTCGTGGGCGTAGTCAGTCGTTACGCAGGAACAGCTTGAAGAAACGAGACGGTAGCAGTCAGCAACAGCGTGGGCAAAGCAGTAGCGGCCTTCCACGGGAGTCTGCTGTCGCAGATGGCACTCCTCTTACGTCAAATGGTGCGATACCCATCAATCAACAGATTCCTCTTGGATGGAGCAGTAGAAACAGCAGCAGTAGCCCGCAATCCTTTTCGAAAGGCCGGGGTCTTTTGTCGACTAAGGGGTCAATAAATGGATCCGATTACAATATCCTGGACTCATTGTCCTCCCCTAATCCCTTACCAGCAATCAAATTCCCCGAAGACCAAAGCGAACGGCAACGTCGGACGATTTTGGTGAAGGTGTGGTTGATGATAGCCTCCTTCTATCGGCTCGCCAGGAGGTATAGCGACACTAGGGACGCTATCCGGGAGGCCACAACTTTGGTGGAAAGCCTACAGGTTGATATTTCCAAGGATATCAGCGGTTCAGTGTCTCCGAGCAATCCAGGGTGGGGCGGCCAGATATCTCTGGAGGAGCTTACAGCTGATGTGCAAGCCGAGGTGAGACTCATGAATTCATGATGATGAGCGTTCAATTAACCAAAGTTTACAGATGGGCCTACTCGCCATTGATGAAGGTCAACCTTACGTCTCGAGAGCTCACTTTGAAGAAGCTTTGATGCATGACCCCGATCACCCGTCTGCCGTAGTTGGGTTGTCCAACATTCTACTAGATATATTCAGTGAGGTACTTCTACCAACTCCAGCAATACCTCGCATAGGTGAAGGTAAAGAAGAAGTTCTCGACAGTATCACAAGGGCTCCAAAAACAACATCGGGAATGATCGAAACGTCTTATTTCCCACCAGCCACACCACTAGGACTCGGGGATACTGCCAATAAAGGTGTTTCCGGCACCGAAAAATCCGGGGTTCCTACCCAACAGACATCCAAAATCTCAGCTACTGACGCACTCCCTGCTCCCTACAAGGCTGACTCCCTCCCACTCATCGATCGTCTGGCCGCACGAGACCGAGCGTATGGGCTTTTGTCTGGGTTGACCAAACTTGGCAAAGGGTGGAACTACTCAGACGCCTGGTTTGCTCTGGCTAGAGCACATGAGGAGAGCGGCCAAATAGACAAAGCCAAAGAAGCACTATGGTGGTGCGTCGAGCTTGAAGAAGGTATGGGCGTCCGCGAATGGCATTGTGTCGGCGTCAACGGGTATACGCTCTAGATCGACGCACGTCATGACAATATCAACGATGAGGGGTCATACTCACTATGATCCCATCCCACTCGACTTAGTGTCACTAGGATATGTGGCTACATGTGGTCTCTTGGCCAGATCACCGCCCAGCGTATATTATGGCCCCAGAGAAGTAGCATGATGATCCGATGCCACCTCTACGTCGCGTCAGGTGGACTGAGCTTACCAAGCAATAGCGTGTGAACCTAACGGTAATATCCTACCAGGCAGATATATTTGGGTGCCTCTTTCTAAAAAACACATTTAATGTAGATTTAATTACAACATCTATGAGATGATCTCACTATTACAAATTATCAGACAACATCAGCTCGAAACCAGGTTGTCAGGTGGAGTTGGCCGGCTCGACGTAGCACTCGAAGCCAAGAAGACGGGATGCGTTTATTCCGTGACCTATGATATTGTTTTACTATTACGCAACAGATAGGTTTCACATGCTGACCCGGAGGCTCGGGAGACTGGATCTCGATACATTGCTAGTAGGACGAGGAGAGTTTTGACCAAATCGGCATCGTCCAATCACACAAGACCCGGCTGTCTGTCGCCTGTCGACTGGCGCTAGGCTTGAAGTTCACGCTCTCAGCATAACGAGAACTCATTTTCAATCTTTACATCTCTGCTGCGGCGCATTTCATTGGGTACCACGCATTGGTGTGTATAAGGCGGCAAGACTACCCTTGGAAACTCTAAACTCTAATCGAACCGCCGGTTCAGCAAGGATATCCTGGCGCAGTCTGAACTCAAAGATAATTTTAGGACAATGAGCTCGACTTGACGTCTACGTTCCTAACCCGAACAGGCCAGCATGGGGAGCGGATTCTGCGGGAAGCTCAAGCAGCCGCTTAATCTCTGCATTCGCTTGCGGTGAGCCATATCCTCGGGGCTGGTTCCCTCTAGTGTTGTTGTCAATTACAAATGACGGTGCAATGAACCGAGCTAAGGGCGTGGCACTGGACTGAATCCCCTCTTACACTTTTCTTACACGCCTCTTGATTCTAGCTCTGCTGACCACCCTTTGCTTAGCCTCTTCAACGCATACTGAACCACGATCTAAGTTTTCCCAACTGGCTGGTGAGGCCGCGGGGTCGTCATGAGAGCAGAGTTTTCATCGGGGAAACGACAGTTATCTCCGCATTACACAACATTAACCCGCTACTTCTTAGGCCAACTGAGCTTTGAGTTTAGAGATTGACAAACACAGCCTCGTGCGGTGGATATTGATGATGTATGCCCGTTATCATTGCTATTCCTTCGCCCTGGAAAATGAGATAGAGTTGCTGTCAAGTGGACTCTCATAAGCGCGAGCCCACGAATCCGGGGCGATGGCATAGTGTGGCACGACATTACCTGCCTCGCCTGCTTAGCCAGGAGGGCAATTCACACACCCATCGTATGAGATCTCAACATGTATAAATACAGCCATTCGCCGGCCTTGAGAATGGACTTTTCTTCTTCATCCCACAGGCAGCTTCAGCTTCAGCTTCAGCTTCAGCTACAGACAGCCTTGCAAGAAACACTCGCCTACTCACCAGCAACCTTCCAATCAACCTTCCAATCACCGTTTCTGTATCACTTTACGTGATACCCCTTACATCGCCCAGCATGCATTTCTCCAAGTCTCTCCTCGCTGTTGCGCTGATGCTCGGCCCTACCGTCCTCGCAAACCCCGTCGCCATGCCAGCCGAGGTGAGTTTTCCCTTCCCGCATTGGTCCCACCAACGGTGATTCCAGGACTCTTCCAAACCGGGCCCGCCTCATATTAGATTCGTGGGTCATGTCCTGCTAACTGACCGTTCACATTCGCAGAAGGACGCTGCGATCGCCGACATCAATGACAAGGAAGACGTTGAGCATTACAGAGGCCGCTACCACGGCGATCACCACCACGGCGATCACCACGGAGATCACCGTAGCCACCATGGCAGTGGCAGTTACCACAAGGTCGAAACTCGACAGGACGATGATGATGACAACAACAAACGTGATGTGGAAGCTCGTGAGGATGCCCAAGGTGGTGACCGTGGCGGTGACCGCGGTAGCAACCGTGGTGGTGACCGCGGTAGCAACCGTGGCGGCGACCGTGGCAGCAACCGTGGCGGCGACCGTGGTAGCAACCGTAGCGGTAACCGTGGTAGCAACCGTAGCGGTAACCGTGGCGGTCGAAACTACAAGCGGGAGGACGACAAGGAAAACGAGGAGGTCAAGGCCGACCATGATCCTGAGGACAATGACAACAAGGCTCTGCTCGACGAAGATAACAAGGTGGTTGTCGGCGAGAAAGGATATGGTGGCTACGGCCACAGTGGCGGCTACAACGGATACGGCGGCCACCACGGAGGATACGACGGCTACGGAGGATACGGCGGCCACCACGGAGGATACAACGGCTACGGAGGATACGGCGGCCACCACGGCGGTCACGGCTGGAGCGGATAAGCTCCCAAGTCACCACAGTCATTCATTACTAACGGTTCATTCATTACTAACGGTTGATTGAACATATCATGGTGTGTGTAGCTTTGTTTGGAGGGTTATAATAGTGTCAACGAGTGTAGTCAGGGGTAATGTTATAATTAATTGACAATCGCAATTTGCTATTGATTCCAAATGAGGCTTCGAACCGCGCCTGAAAATGTGGAAGAATTCAATCTAATAATGCTAGCAAGCCTGCAAGAATGCAAGAAGTCCACTGCAACGTTGACCCAGTTGCCCTATTATTTTTAACATGAGGTAAGTTCTACTCCAAAGTATATAGGAAACAAGCACACGGGAAAGCGACACTCCATGCATATTTGAGCAAGGTGATTGATTCCCAACCATATTCCTTTTTTAAGGATGGATAAAAAGAAGGCGGAAAGAAGCTGCAGGTCTCCCCGGGAATCGAACCCAGATTGGTGGAATTGTAAGTCTTCATTCATTCAAAGATTATCAAAATCCACAGTGCTAACCATTACACCAGGAAACCAAGTCATGTGACCAAACATCGCAGCGAAAAGTACCTATCACCGCCACACCCCTCCCCAGCCTCCAGGCGATTGCATCATGAGTGGGGGCTACTCATTTTCTACTCATTATGACGTATGCTGCGTGCGCTCAAAGTCACACAAGATGAGCAGGACCGACCCAAGACCATATTGCTTGCTGCTTATTCCCTGACGAGCCTGTGTCTTATTGTGAAATAAACATCAGCTACCTGTCATTGTCCACAATCGACCTGCTCTCCAGCAATCCCGTCAAGTTGCAAACCACCTGCAGTGTCTTCCTGCCTAAGTTCGGGACTACTATCACGCGTCTCCCACATCCAAGCGACCGTCTATCTATACTAGCAGAATCCGCCAATCAAGATGACGGACTCTCACGACATACAAGCCTCCCACGTCGAGTCAGCACCGGCTGCGTCGCAACAATTGGGTCAGGCTCAGTAAGTTTTCCCCTCAAAGGACCTCACTGCTCATTCAGATTCAGAGATTCACAAACCCTTGTGGTTTTCGTTTGCTTTCCTGTAAAGTAAAGCTAACCTCGAAACTCTGGTCACTAGGGATATGTTGAACCCCGCGCAAGCTGATCCTGGCTCCCGTACCGAGGTGCACGGGGAAGCAGTGAAAGACCAGGTCGACGGCGCTATGGCCACGGGCCCCAAGAGAGCAGATCAGTCGTCCGGTGGTCGTGTTCAGGTGCGTATCAAGCCTTCTCGCAAGCTCATGATGCAAGGTTATGAGATCTCAGCTGACGTCTTACTATATACACCCAGGTTGCCGAGACTGGTGACCTACATGACTTGGCTGCGCAGCGTCAATCCGAGCATTGATGCTCTTCTCCCTTGTCGTTAGCAGATTCCTATTAAAACATATTGTTGGTCAATCGACCAATCAGTTGCCGGGCCAATGGAGTTTTACCCTATTTACTTGTATTAGTATTGAGGCACATGTTGACAAATCTTGGGGGCACGGAGTTTCTGACTGATGACACTTTATCTATGCGTATCTTCTGTACAGTATCACGACTTCATAAGGCGGTATAATCACAAGCTCAGTACGCTTGTGTTTGAGTAATCACGGATGCAGTCAACCTTACCATGGAAATGCAGTTTCTCCCGAGTCCTGAATTCCTGCACCCTTCGATTACATAAAAATATCCCGTGCAATAAATACAAATGCATGCAAACTTGCGAACTTGCATATGCACGCCTAGTGGTGATTGATACTCATTCAGCTGCGTGCACCTGTGCGCACGAAAGCTTCCTGTACCGGAGTCTTACATATCGGCGCTTCGGAGCATGACCAATAATAATACTTCGCATTGGACTGACTAGGTACTCGCAGGTATCAGACCCGTACCAGCATGCTTTCTCCGTACCTAATTGTACTAAGTAGTACCAGCCATCCTTCGGCGCCCGCATGCAAGTGCCATAACGACCACGACCGTGTCTTGATCTCTGCAGATGCACACCCAATTGCGCTCTCATTGATATGCAGCCTTCCTTATACCGGCATGATAGATTTGGTATTTTGCCCATGTGCTGAACCAAGACGCTGTTGCCGAAATACGCAGGGCTATTGTTGCACCAGCTTATTACATACCAGGTCTGGTGTCGTACGAGTCCGTAGCCCAATTTACCGGCGCCACATGCCCCGTCGAAAGTGAACTCTTCGGGTCGTGCAGATCCGAACCCGGCGGGTCCCACTGTGTAAGTAAGTAGGCTCTCTGTGCGGGCGAGCGGACGGGGCGGTCTGCAAACGCCATATTGGTGAGCTCCAGGTCCGAAAGATAACCAGCTGCAGCGCCTCAAGGTACGAGAGAAGCCAGCCCATGTTGCTTCTCCTGAATATCTCTGTGTGGATTTCTCAACCTCGAGATGACTACTACAGGGAGTGTAAAGTCATCCAACGGGCTTGAATGGCCTAACATAGAAGGTAAACCGAAAGACATTGTCGTTTTCCCCTCCCTTCTCATTCAGCTCGGTATTGACTCAGAGTATTTCTAGACACCATTGATGGCAATGAGATAGACGATGAGTCGTCATACCCCGAAGGAGGAAAGGAGGCATGGCTTGTCGTTCTCGGCGCCTGGTGCGCCATGATCCCCTCCATGGGACTGTTAAACACATTGGCTATCTTGCAGGCCTGGATATCTGAAAACCAGTTGGCGCATTTGCCGGAGTCTACTGTGGGTTGGATATTCAGCACATACGCCTTTTTTCTATATTTTACAGGCGCACAGACGGGTAAGTTGTTTCCAATCACCGCTGAAGTTGGAAATAGCAGCCATAGCTAAAAACAGCCTGTTTGATATGTGCCCAGGCCCGATTTTTGATGCATACCCAGTAAAAGTGCTTGTGATTCCGGGTAGCATTGGGATGGTTGCGTCTATATTCTTGTTCAGTGTCTCGAAAGGTACGACTTCAATCTTCCCAGTTCATTGCGTACCCGGCGAAGCCTGACTGACATGTTCATAGAGTTCTACCAATATTTACTCTCATTCGGCGTGCTGGGTGGTATCTCTGCGTCACTGTTGTTCAACCCGAGCTTATCGGCCGTGAGCCACTGGTTCCTCAAGAAGCGCGCTCTCGCGACGGGAATAGCTTGCACAGCTGGCGGTACAGGCGGAGTTGTATTCCCTCTCATCATCTTGTACGCCTCGCCTCGTCTTGGCTTCGACTGGGCTCTCCGCATCGTCGGCTTTGCGTGCCTGGCAGCGGGTTTGGCAGCGTGCTGCCTCCTCAAGAAGCGACTTCCTCCGAACAAGAAGGCCGGCGCCGCTATCGATCTGAAATCCCTATCGGAGCCCCGGTTCGCGACCACGGCCCTGGCCACCTTCCTCATCGAATTCGCCGTCTTCATCCCTTACACGTACATCTGTTCGCACGCCATACATGCAGGCCTGGACCGGCACACGGCATACCTCTTGAACGCTTTACTCAACGCCGGGGCTGTCCCAGGCCGTGCGCTCCCCGGATATATCGCCGACCGCTTTGGCACGTTCAATACCATGTGTATAACATCGGTCGCATGTGTGGCAACCATTCTGGCTCTCTGGTATACCGCCGGCACCAACGCAGCACAGGTCATCTCGTTCTCCCCTCTGTTCGGTTTCTGGTCCGGCGCGGCTATCAGCTTGACGCCCGTATGTATCGGTCAGGTGTGTCGAACTGAAGACTATGGCAAGCGAAGCGGCACTGCTTTCTTTCTGGCGAGCTTCGGTGCTCTCGTTGGAATCCCTATAGCGGGCGCTATATTGGAGCGTAACAACGGCTCCTACGAGGGGTTGATTATCTTTGCTGGGGCTCTCTACTTGGCAGCCCTAATAGCCTTCGTTGTAGCTCGAGGACTTTGTGTTGGGTGGCGCGTTGCTGTTTTGTTTTAATTCCATCTGTAGACTGTAGCGGGTGTGATGCTGTACTTACAATTTCAGCTTAAGATTCACAATATCCTCTCATTTGGTGTGACTACATGACGCCTCTCATTCAACTTCAATGATGGTCAAGTTGATTCCTGACCGATGCATTCCCCCTTCCATCTCAAGCCTGCGATTAATTTGTTCGAATAAGTGCTTCCATTCGTCTAAACTGCTTTCGACCTTCCCCTATCTCCGTCATTATTTGGTCAATTGCTCTAGTTGTTGCCGTATCGCGCTGAATACGAAGATGCATCATTCATCGTTTGGAGATTTCTACCTATATACGACTAACGTGGGTAGGTACTTAGAGGTATAGTCCGTGAGGATTCTGTGAGGATTCTGTGAGATCTACGAGTAGGTAATACGAAGGGAACACTGTATGCAGCTGTAAAGCTAAGCAGTCGAGGCAGTCGAGGCAGTGAACTAGTTCCCACCGATCCAGTTCGCACACCCTCATAACCCCGTTATCTCTCTTTGGTGTTTTCATTCGCATCTCAACGCTGCAAGACTTGAATACCACAAAGGATCATTCTTAGCTCCCGAGACCCTCGCTCATATCTTCTCATCTCAATGCCAGCCAAGACTCTACCTGGAGATAAGCTATGAAGTAAAGGCATATGTGCATTCTTTTTTTTCGCCAGCGCATTCAATACCCACTATCTATGTGGATCTATCTAACCGCGCACTTAGCTTGGACTCCGGATCTTAGCGAGAGTTAGCTTGCTAATTGTTCGGCAATGATATCGGATACATAGATAGAATCAGAAACGGGGAGAGAATGAGTGGGTAGGCCACGGCTTGGCTAGAAATAGGTACTGTATACAGTGCCCACGCGACCGCCTCACGGAACGGACCTCTGGCCTGCACCTGCCGACTCGGATACTGCACCGGGAATAATGTCTTTGTGTGGAAACACGACCTTCCTGAATGTCAAAATACCATTCTCGTAGCATCCATACTGTTATTTCCCAATTCTTATGACCTCGTGTATTGAGGCACCTACCGACTCAGAAAAACATATTATTTCTTGGAATCTGTTACTTACAACCTTTGGTGATACCGGAATACTATACGGGGACAGCGGTGTCTATAGGTGCAGAACCGGCCCAGATGATTTTGGCCGGAGAGTGTCTAGTAGTTAGGTAGGTCTGGTCCCAATATGAAAGACACAAAGGAAGAGAAGGGTCTCGTTGCGCACAACAAATATTTCCTCATAGCAAAACAATGCTCGACTTTCATCCTAGATAATTGGCTTGTTATCGGGTTTGGCATTGCTGCTGCACTGGGCTATGCCTTTCCTTGTACGTCAAATCCTTCACCGTAAGAAACCTACTTGAACTAAGAGACGGGCCTACAGATGTAGCAGCGCGTGGAGGCATAATAAGATCCGAGTATTCGATTCTCTACGGGGGCATCGCGCTCATATTCCTCATAAACGGCGCCCAACTAAGTCCGGAGAAACTGAAAGAACATGCGATGAACTGGCGGCTGCACATTGTCGTGCAAGGTATCAACCTGATTCTCATACCCGTCATACAACTCAGTCAGTTTTGCCTCACCCATGTGGGT